CAGGATGGTTTTAGATGCAGAAATGCCAATAAAGTGACATCAACAAATTCCGGGAGAACTGATTTTATCAGGCAGTTGTGGAAAATCACTTCAACACGACTTTCCATCCTGATAAAAACAGAGCAGTTCATCTTCACCGACGTGACTCTCTGGTTATTTTATGTGTGAACTCACTCACAAGACAGCACACCAGTTCAGGACAAACCTGATCAGCTTTATCCCAGTGGAAGGTTTTGATCTCTCTGGAATGATTTAGTTTGGAGTTTCCATTTCTGACTGATTTCTGAAACAGTGTAGCTCACTGGTGCTGAGATGAAAGGGCATTTCAGATCGTCGGAAAGGAAACTCCATTTTTTAGTGGTTGCTAAGGTGTCCATTTTCAGGAGAGCTTTTATCAGCAGGTTGTTTTTCTTGCTTTGGCGGGGGGGGGGGTTGGACCGGAGACTCCTGAGGTCCCTCACAGCCTGGGTTACTCTGATTCTATGACCTCTAGTTAGAGGACATGTCACCGTAAGATGAGGTGGTTGTATTTCCATCCTCACACCATGCACAGGGGCAGAGAATTACCATTTCACCTGCAGACCTGTGCTGTAAGGGCCCAGCAGCAGACGGGAAAAGAAAACCCAACCCTGACAGTATGAAGTACAATCCCATCCCCACCTAAGGCAAAGAGGGTTCGCGTAGCAGACCGGAGCATTGTTAGTTCTGAGCGCTGACGTTGGTGCTGGTCACACAGAAGGGCTTGTCCCCATATTCCTGCAGGGAGGCAAACTCTCCATCGTTCCCATACCTGCACTGTAGGCCAGGTCAGAGCATTTCCCCACGTCAAGCGTGACCTCCCAGGGAGAGTCTGGAAAGAAGGTTTTCAGAGCTGGGAGACGGAGACATTCCTTGGGGCACGTGCTGCAGTGACAGCCGTCGACCACCTCCACCTTCCGAACGCCTTCGAAGAGCAGGAGCCGCTCCACGTGCACACGGGCGGGCTCACAGCAGGAACCTGCAGAAACGTGGGGCTGCCGGCCGCAGTGGCGAGTCGGGGCGCCGGACCTGCAGCTGCACAGAACAGGGCAAGCGGCATATACACTTATAAAAACAGGCCATGGAGAACAACTTCCAGCATCAGCTCCCGAACAAAAACCTCTTCTGACCTAGAACTGACTCAGCTTTTACTCCTTTCTCCCTGCATGGCAGCACTGTGTTGCTGTGGTGCTGCTCTTCCCAGTGACACGCTGATATCAGAACTGTTTATTCCCCCAAACCATGCTACAATCAGCTGAACTGCATCGCCTAAAGCAGTCCTCATTTCACCCCAGGCTCCTGGTCTGGAGTCTCAGCGTGATGACAGCTCTGGGGAATGAACGTGGACCTGCCTGCCTGGAAGGTGCTGCACCAGCAGTGCCACAGTGCAGAGCTCGTTTCCATTCCCTCTCCAGGGTTAGTTATCCTGGTGGAGATGGGACTTTAGGCAACGTCAGCTCTCCTGGGATAAGGAGAGCATCGCAGCCGTGCATAGCTATGTCCCCAAATGCACAGGCTGCTTCTAGTCCTTCCTAGGAGTGACACATGGCATGTGATACGGGAATGACATAAGCACCTCAAAGGCCAGATATTCATCATGAAATCATGGGTCCTGCCAGTTTTGCTCAACCGGGCAGAACAAAGCCTCCAACCCCTCTACAGCAGCTCTCACGTGCAGCGGATGTGGCTGAGTAACAACTCAGACAATGGTCTCAGGGCTGGGCTGGGGGAGGACAGAAATACGCTCGGATGCTGCCCAGAGCAGCGGGGTAGGTGCTGTGACAGCCCTTCAGCTGAGCCTCTCCTCTGCCACGAGGTATCCAGCGTTGCGGGAGAGTTCCCATTTGTCTAGCCTGCATATTCCACTGCTGGCCGGCGAAGGGAGGACAAGAGGCTCACTGACAGGTTTTCTGCAATGCAGAAGCCAAGAACAGGTATTTTAAAATGTGTATAAAGTCACAGCCCCAGGCACCAGTGTAAGACCTTCACCCAGACCCAACTGCTCCTGCCACGGGGACGACACAAAACCACTTTTCTCACCTTCTTGCTTCTAAGAAAATCAAGCATGGAGGAGTGTCTGGAGAGCCCCGGGAGGCCGGGGTGGGGGGAGCCGATCCGACGGGACAAGCAGCTGGACCAGCACTTTCCAACATCCACGCTGACAGGACTGCCAGAGGCACCTGTGAAACACAAGTTTGGCGAAAGGATTACTCCTCACTATTTCTGTGATGCTGGGAAGGCCCAAGCTCAAACCAGGGCCAAGTATAACACAAACACTGGACAAAAAGACATGGTCCACCTCTGGAAGTCTGCCTGGGAGAGAGAGTCCTTCAGCCTGAGCACCTGCAGAAATCCCAGAGAGAAAGCCCTTCGCTAGCGCTGCAGACGGATCTACTGTGTCTGCAGACCAGAAGTAAAACATTTCATAATAGACCGGTAAGCGCACTACAGAATAAAAAGAATGCAATTAAAAAATCACCGGGAAACAGTAGGTTTTACATGCTTTACTGGGCTCATGAAGGATGGGCTGAGCATAGGTGAACACATTGATTAGCAAAGGGAAAATGAGAATGCTCATCTCTTGCTGAACTCCAGACCTTGAATGAACTGAGCGAGCCTGAGCACCCAGTAGATTCAGGGCAGAAAGAGAAACTCAGCTCCCCTTGCCTGCAGCCCAATGAACCTGCTCATGGAGCTGCCTGAGCTGAAAATATATCTGACCCCTGCCTGCCAAATCCCGATTTCACAGCTCCCCAAATCTGTTGCATTGCCACATTAGCATTACAAGGCAGAGGACAGGAAGGTGGGAATGGGTGTGGGAATGGGTGAGACACAGGACCATGGCATCCAGGTTTAGATCAGTTTGCGGTATTTTGAGTTTGTAAAATATCAGGGGTTATTGGCTAATGGCTGTTCCTTCTGGAAATCCTTCTAAAATGAGTTATTTTTCCCCAATAGTGCTGTCCATACTCAAAGGGTTGGTTGATGTAAATCCTCATTTCATCACAGAATAGGGAAGAAAACTGGCCTTAAAAGTGCCCACTGAGCAGTTCAACACCACTATAATTCGTTTGCTTTAACCTGCTGGAGTTGCAGACCCAGTGTGTGCTGCAAAAATTCTGCACTTGTTTTAAAACTGACCTTCAGCGTCAGTGCGAGAGACAGCCACCATCACCGTGCTGCACGACACCAGGAAACACGTAGGCACATTTTAAACTCACATTTAGGTTATAGCTGCTTCTAGCTGCCTGAGGATTTCTTTGCCCAGGGAAGCCAGCAAGCAGTAAGGCAGGTAGCCATTTGCAGTGTGTTAGCCATTCCCCGGCGGTGGTCCCTGCGGATGCTCCTCACCCACAGCAAGGACACAGACAGCTGGTCGCTTTGCAAAGGACACTTCGCCAGCTGAAGACACTGTTAACCCCTGCTCTCCCATCCCCACAGCAGTACAGGCCGTGTTTATTATTTTTATCACTATCTATTACTATTTTCATCATTATTTACTCTTCTAAAGTTGTTTCCTCTGGAGATGACAAGCTGCTTGTGACAGTTTTTAATCTGGATATGGTCATTTATAACTCCTACTGTTCACATAAGAACCTGATATTTTGCGAACACTAAAGGCTGAATTTGTACAAGTGCTGCTCTCGTGCACTGAAAAAACCCCTAAGAAACCTCAGACTTTTGGCCATACAGTTTAACGCCGTTTTCACATAGCTGCGCTGAAACCAGCTGAAGCTCATTTTATGTAGCCTTACAGCTGCTGCAAGGGGAACTGAGAATAAAGCTACTCCTGAAGGCCACAGACTTTTTTTCTGGTGAATAAATGGAGTTATTTCCTACTTCCTCTGCACAGTACAGTCAGGACACCTTGCTGTCTTGCTGACAGCCCTTCCAGTGTTAATCCTGGGGACCAAAAGTCTGCAGTGGTCCTGAACTGACGCAGTACCAGAGGCAAACACAGAATTCAACCACATTGCAGTACACTGGCACAGAAAATGAAGCCTCTTTTATGCAGATGAACAGAGCTGGGGGCCAGGCTACTCATCAGTTCCTATTCTACAAAACGTGCTTTAAGCATTGGATTATCCGGGCAATGAGTCCCCAGCGTATTTCTGTCCTTAATCCCCTGAGGGAAAAGTCACTAGGATAATTTTAACAAAAGGAAACCTCAGGGGGATGATGGGCAGGACATGAGTGGGGGTGCTTAAAGGATCTAGGTTTCTTGCGGGCGAAGGGGGAACGCACCATGCCCGAGGTGGAGGAAATGGCTCTGCCTCCTGCAGCAGCCCCTCTCTGCAAAGAGGTTCCCTTGCTCGTCCTCTCTGCCGACGGCTCCGGCACCTGCAGGCACAAACCACCAAGCCCAGCATTACGCCGGTTATAATTCACCACCGCTCCTGCTTGAGCTGGCAGGAGGCCCTGAGCGCCGAGCACAAGTCTCCAGCCACCCGCCGTCCTGAGCCAAATGGCTTCAGCCTGAGGAAGAGATTTAGAGCGGTTATAGATGGACGTGATCCATTTGACTTCTCAGACCTGGCCAGTTGGCCTAAACACCGTACCTGATTAATTACTCCAAGAAAAGGCTGTGTTTAGAGGTGTTTTATCTTAGGACATCAGTCCCCTGCTCTCTCTTACTTCCATGTTACTGCAATGCGAGCTTCGGTGAGAGGAGTCCTCTCAGCACAAAGCAGCTTGCGGGCACTAAGCTCCCCAGATTGCTGCACAGCAGCTTCCGCCGAGACAAACCCCAAATTATTTGCCGAGTGCTGACAATCCTCCAGGCTGCTCAGAGTGAAGCATCATAGAAAACATACACTCTGCCCATGCAGAAGCATCAGGCATGAAGGAAGGCCACGCACAGCCTCACACCACACACCCACACAAGCCCCTTTTCTCTCCTATGCAGGAGGCCAAAGCAACACCAAAGACAATGAGAAGGAAAAAGGAACTTACTGGCAAAGATGGAAGCACGCAGGAGCCCTGCAAAGAAGACTACAGCTAGTGGGTCCTGCCTACTGCACCTTGGGAAACACAAAAAGGTCTCCGGTATCCCCGATACTTACACCAGGCCCTCCCTCAGCAGGCGAGAAGGTGAACAGCTCAGAGACAAACGGGTTTGCATATCGCCAGCAAATACCTCCAGACTGTGATCTGAGCAAACACCTAAGCAGGCTGGGCAGCGATGGCATCTCTCCCACAACATGTCTACAGGGATCAGGCTTGGAGCAAACTTCAGAGTGTTTCTTGAGAGCAACTGGTTTTGCTCCCAGCGTGGAAAAGCTCCCTTGGGGGTCTTCGTTCTTACCACCACTTTCAAACTAATTAAGTTTGTGGTGACTTGGAGTCACTTTCAAGTCCCCTCATTTGAAAGGAACGTGCATCCTTCATCCTCACTCATCCACGTTCAATGGCTTTTTTATCTAGGGACAACCCTCTTTTGTCCCTCCGCAACACCAACACTGAGACAAAGCTGGCTCTTTGATAAAGATGGCAACACCGTAGGACTCAGCCACATCAGGGATGACAGACAGCACATTCCCCACAACCACACCGAGAGGCCTACAGCTCTGGTTTTGCCTCTTTTCAGTGTGACTGAGCCCTAGAGCCACGAGGACGCATCTTTCTATTTTGTTAAACACATGCAGGAAAGTACTAGTCTCCCAAGTCCTGGAAACAGCAGAGGCACAGACGGTGCTTGTGTGTGGTAAGGGGCTCTCGGACACACCGGTCGAGGGCAGCAGTATGTCCTGAACGCTTGCTGCACGCGGCTCCTAACTGCAGAAGTCAGGATCTCTGCACCGGCTTGGCCAAGTGCACGTGGCAGGGAACAGATCCAGTTTCCAGGGAAATTTTTTTTTGCCGGATTCAGGAAAGAGAGCACACAAGAGAACGGTGATGGCAGCGTAATGCATCTGACACTACTCTGGCATTCAAAATAGGGTTTTGGGGAGTGTTGGGTTTGCGTGGTTTTTTTGCTACAATTATTTACAGGTGCAGCAATCAGAAATTTATGGAAGCTGTACACTCCTAGGAACAAGCCAAGTCTCCCTGGAGCTCATATATAGCTCCTAGAGGACAGCTGGGCTTCACTGGGATAGACGCCTTGAGGAAACAATAGCAAAACCAAAATGCTGTTAGAAGGCATCCTTTCCACACTATGCCATTTACCACCGTGCTAAAGGAACACTATCCCCTTCATCCCAGCAGCACAGGGAACAGGACAGCTGTTCAACAACAAAAAAATTTAATTGTGTTTGGCCAAGAAACAAACATATACAAAGAAAAATACATTTCCATGTAAAAAATTTCACCATGCCTGGGCATCTGAGCCGAGCCACTCTCCATTCACATCTTTGTGGTGCTGCAGAGTACCTGGAGAGGCAGGGACCGCTACTCCGAGCAACTGCCGTGCGACCTGGCCAAAGCCGGAGAGCAGTCTGCACCGTGGCGGCAGGGCACAGTTAAGTGACATACAAAGTATTTATGAAAAAATATGCATTTTAAATAAAGAACTTAAAACAACTTAAACTTTATACAAAAAATTATGGTTGCCACTTCAATGTCTTGATTCTAGGAACTATTTTTGAACTCTCAACATCCTGTTTTCTGCGATTTGTCCATCTCTGTGCTCTGTTTCTCCAGAGAGCTCTGTCTCTGGCCGGCTCAGTCCAAAGTACCTAAAAATGGAAAAAAAAAAAAAAAAAAAAATTATAGTATCAGAAATCAGAAATGCAGTTATGTGAACAAATGTAACTTGTTTACAAGCTGCCAAAGGAACATGCAGTAACTTTTTAAAGTTGAAGCAAATCACACACAAAACAAATCTAGCTAAAAAGTATTGTACATGTCTCAGGGTCCGCTTGATTTGTGTTTCACCTCTCAGAGAGGGGCATAACAAGGTACACTATTAATTATTAAAGATGTGGAAAGAGAGGGATCTGCAAATGATTAAGTTCTTTCTTTCCCAAGAAGGAGACTACACAAAATATTGAAACCAACTGAAACCAAGTAGAAACTCACCTTCCAAAAAAGCAAATTCATCAATAGCTTCAATGGCATTATCTGCAAAGCAAATTTAAAACAATTAACATAGATAAACCGACTCCATATTTGCATCTGCTTCAAATAGCAGTATTTGAATTTACATCACAGTACAGCAACCAATTTCAAAGAGGTTTACTTGTTTTGGAGCTGGTGTGTGAAATTATTAGCGTAATATTTGGTAGAAGAGAAGTTTTTCTCTCCCGTCTTCAGAGAAAGAAAAAGAGGCACCTATGACTGCTTCATCACACCAAGACAGGTGGAAAAATCCTCAATCCTAGCAACTCTTTGTTAAGGATAGCACAGAATATGCTCTCGTACCCAGGTCTTTTCTCTGCAGAGTTTTCCTTTTTCCTTGCTGAGCATACACGTAAGCATCTTTGGCTATGGTTTCAACAAACAACTCCTGCAAAGGAAAAACAAGACAGTTTCACACAGGGGATGAGAGAGGGAAGAGAATATCCTGAGGAAAGGTCCTACAAGACTTCAGGAAGAAACCATAATTTCCGTCTTAAAATTTCCCCTTTCCAATAAATAGCTCTGCAAATAACAAATGAAACTGTTGGACAGTGATGCACATGAGAAGTAACAAAGGAGGAGAGAAGAACAAGAGTGTATTGGATAGAGATGGTTCCTCTGAACGCATCTGGGAGACCAGCTGCACACCATCTGCTCCCAGGGCACCTTCTGAAGGAGGAAAGGTGTCCTGTGCTCCAAGGATGAAGTGGATTGAGCACAACGGTCCTCGCGTGCCACCCAGCAGATACCTCAGTTGCGGGAAGGTGGTGCCCAGCGGCAGGCCTAGGAGTTACTGCAGGGAGACACCGAAAGGGAGAGACCGGAGCCTACACACGGATGCTCTCACACGATGCCAAAACCATCCCACCAAACACACCTCGCCTGTGCAAAGGGACAATTTCCAAAGGAGAAAAACTCCTCTGTGTTACACACTGCTCTGATCTGCACATCGCAAAGCCTCAACGTGCAATCGGGGGGAGCTCGAAACCCACCCGAGCGGGCACACAGCTGCCTGGCGGATGCAAAGCCCCGGCGCTTCCCTGCTGCAGGCTGGCGCAGAGCACCCGCGGAAGGGGCCCTGCCGAGATCGCATCGTGGAGACAGTGGCAACATCAGGGTGTTTCCTCCCGCTGCCGGGCAGGCTTCGGCAGGATCCCTGACGAAGGGAGATGCGTTGCCGCTGCGGGGCCGAGCGGTAGCAAACCCGGCCCCTGCCCTGCCGCCGGGATGCTTCCAGGCGGATCGGCGGGCAGCAGGCCAAGGGCAGGGGCTACCGTCCCGCTTCCCACCGGGAGAGCTGGGGACGGGTGCCCAGATACCCTCACTGCCTGCGGCGGCTCAGCCTGCTGACCGGACAAGGCACCGGTTGGGAGAGCTGCGAGAAGAAACCCCCCCAAGCCCTGCAGAAAAAGACTCTTAGAAAAAGCCAAGGCAGCGGCTCCTCGCCCCACAGATGCCGAGCGCAGCGCCAGGGGC